CCCCCGGTGATTTTGACAGGGAAGCCAGTGGGGAGCATCCTCAGTGTCCACTGGGGCAGGCCACGCAGGGTTTCTCAGAAGAGCCCCCTGGGGACAGAGCCACTGCAGCTTGTCTCATGCCCACGGGGAAGGTCTTTCCAAATGTACCCTTCAAGGGGCATCCTTCCCTCCAGGCTGGCTTTCTAGGGGGTGGGGTGGGGGGAGACTTTTCTCCAACCTGTTTGAGAGCCCAGAATCCAGCAGACTGCCTTGGTTGACCCCCAAAGGGAGAAACCCATCGGGTGAAGAATCACGGCCCCTGGGCCCTGGCTGAGCAGGCCAGCACCCCACACTCCCCCCGAGAGGCTCACCAAGTACTGGCCCTGGTAGAAAAGGAACACCCCCAGAGCAGATCACCCTCTGCTCCCTGGGAGGCCCCGGTCCTTGCTCTTGGGATGAATGAAAGTTCAGATCTGCCCTGAAGCTGGGAACGTGAACTCTCCTTCGGGGCTGCTTTCTCTGCAGCCAGGAGCTCCCAGGCTTGGAGGGGTTCTTTTTGCCTCTGGGTGGTGGGGACTCTTTCCTTCCATTCAGCGCCCCAGGAGAAATGCGCAAGCCACCCCTACACCGACAAGACTGACCCCAAACCTACTTTCATTTTCTTCCGGCCTGGATTGTGGACAGTGTCTTGACAACTAGGAGACAGAAGACAAGGAGAGATGAGCTGTAATTTTCCCTTTCCCCATGCAGTTGTGAACCAAAGTCTAGTTCTCTAGATGCTGGAATGTTCTAGGAATCCCCGACACCACCTTAAAGGGGGCAGGCAAGCGGGTGGTGTGCCGGGGGCAGCGTGACTACTGGGCACCTTCGGGGCTCCTCTCCGCTGAGGGTGAAGACACTGCAGAGGTGCCCTGGGTCACCTCGGCCATCTCGGGGCTTCCAAAATTGGCAGCGAGAGCAGACCAGCTTCCTTGCCATTGATCTCCGTGGATGGCGGCATCCCATGCCCGATTTGCAGGCAGTGGGGGTGAGGGCCTTGTTAATTGGCCACTTGCCTCACCACTGGCTTTTAAACAATCGGTTGTATTCTCTGCCTGGCAGGAAGCAGCCGGCCCATCAAGGCTCTAGGCTCGCTCTTTTGTGCCACAATGAGAAACACTGTGTCCTCCATGGGAGCACATTGTGCCAGGCTGAAAGGATGTGGGCTGGGGGCAGAAGGGATGATGCTCTTCCGCAGAGAAGAGGGGCTTTGTGACAGGCTGAGGGCAAAACAAGGGGTGCTGGACACTGTTACTGGGGCAACTGCCTGGCCAGTGCGGGGGCAGCTTTGGTTCCTGATTCCCTTTCCGTGCCCCAGGACAGGCAGGGCCTCTCATCCTCGGCTTTGGGGGGAAGGCTGGCATTTCTCCTAGAGCCAAAGGCCCTTCCATCCATTGTCTGCCATGGAGGGAGGGGACCATAGAAAACCTCCCTGCCGCTCGGAGTGGCTTTTGACTCTTAGAGACCCGGACTGGACGGAGGAAAACCACCCCGGTGGCTTGCTGAGGTGGTCAGTCTTTCCGGGAGCAGACAGCCCCATTTCTCTCCTGCCGAGTGGCTGGTGGACTTGAACCACCCAGTAGACTTACAGCCTGGTGAATGAACCCACTAGGATAGCGCCGATCACGGTCTCTGTTTTCTCTGGGGTACCAAGGAAATCTCGGTCTGCCTTTAGGTTCACGTCTGTGGCAGGTATCGACTCTATCTAACCAGCTCCCGTACTCTATGTCGGTAAGTTAGAAGTTCTTCCAATCACAGACCCCATTTTGTTGGGTCGCTGTGGCCCTTCTGGGTTTTGTAGAAATGATGTCAACGGGGAGGGAGCCTAGAGAAGGTGCACCCAGCCTCACGTGGGCACGCACGCCCCTTGAGACTGCATTTGTCTTCTAGACCCACCACTCTCAGACCCCTCTCTCATCGAGCCTGCAGTTTGCTGTCCACAGCACACAAAGAACAGTAGACAAAGAAGGGAGCTGGCTTCCAGAGACCTTGTGAGGAAGGCCTGGCACCCTTTGGTCCTTTGCCTAGTGAATGCCCCACGACCCCCACGTAGACCACTCTCCATTTGGTGGTCTTTGGATACTCTACAGTCACTGGGTGCTCCTAGCATTTCTAGTGCCTGAGACATGATTGCTGGCGTGTCTGTTTCTTGAGAGACAGGAGGAGAAGGCCTGGCCTTACTTTCCAGAAGCTCACAAATCTACTGGGGAGACAAATTGCATATGGAATTGCTAGATGTTTCAGGATCTCCCAGTGAGAGAAGCTCTTAAGCTGTTGTTGCCAACAGCCTCCGGGATTTTGCTGGGCCTGGCTGGTTCTCTTGCCCAAGGGTGCTTTTCTCATTATCTCCTGGCTCAACCATTTGGTGAACCCGCTCTCTCCACTTGCCCGTAAGCTCCTCAAAGAAAGAGGAATCATGGAGTCTGTCTGATAGCTACTTTCCCTGACTCCCTCTTAGCCTCTGGAACGGCCAGGTCTGAATGAATGAGCATCACCATTAGCAAGCATGGGTACCAGTCCCTTAATGAGACACAACCAAGCAGCCCCAGGGGGCATTCATTCTCCAGTTCTGGTAGGGCAGAGAGAGGGCAGGAGGGCGTCTCTCCCAACCCAGTGTCCCCTTTTTGATAAACATCACAAGAAAATGAGAAACAACAAACCCACGGCCACCAAGGCAATTCTGACTCATGGCCACCCTACAGGGAGGTGAGAACTGGTCCGTCCGGTGGGTGTCCAAGACTGTTAGCTCTGGACAAGAAGAGAGAGCTTTATCTGTCTCCTGAGGAGTGGCTGGTAGTTTTGAACTGCTGCCCTACTGGTTAGTAGCCCACTGCGTAACCACAGGGCCACCAGGGCTCCTATAAAGAAAATCCTGAGGTTCACATCAGGAAGAGTCTGAATTTGACAAAAGGCACTAGGTTTCCTGCCTCGGTCTGTGCGCCTCTGAACTGGCAACCTGCACTGGTTATTGCTTGGTGGTTTAAGTGGGTGGCAAGTATTTCGGGGTTGTGGTGTGAGAAGGGTGTTGTCTCGGCATTTCTCCTCCCTCCCACCCCAAACCCCAGATTGCTCCTGGTGCCACGGGTGTCTTTTCACTAGGACGTTTTTTATCAAGAGCAGCCTGAAGCCCCTGGTTCAGGATCTTGGTTTTAATCCATTGGGTGTGACTGCTTGTGTCTTCTCACGTTTAGTTTCCCGTCCTGGGGGTTACTGCTTGTGCTTGGATTAACTCACTGTGACACGGGGGCCATCTGTGACCTGTATCAGCTCTGGCTTCTTTGAAGTTGAATGTGCAGTAAAAAGTTCATTAAAAAGATGTGGGATCATGAAAATGAGGTTATAGAAATGTCAACAAAGGATCATTTCCTGCTTCCTGTGCTTTCTCCATTAAAAAAAAAAAAGATCTATTTCTCTAGGGAATGTGTGTCACCATTAAAACCATGGAACAGTCTAGGAAGCACAGGCCTGGGTCAAAAAGAGGGTGAGATTCCTGAGAAGATATCTTGGCAAAGACCCAGGCCGTTTTCTTAATTGAGAGCTCAAGGTCCAAGGGGAGACTTGAAGTCAGAAAAATAGGAACAAATCTCCAGTTCTCACGAGTCACGGTTGGAACCCAGCATCCTTAATCAGATGGCTCCGCGTGGTCCGCAGGAAGGGCTGTCTGCTTGGAATCACTGGGTTCAACCGCCGAGCAGAGACTGAGGTCAGCAGATCCACCTGTCCATTTGAAGGAGGAGAGGAGAGGAGCGAGAAAAAGGGAAAGGGGGAAAATGGAGGAGGAGCGAGCAAAGGAAGAAGACACGGAAGAGAGAGGGACACGAGTGGGATGGCACAGTGCCCCTTAAAAGTTTCTTGGCAGCTTTGGTGGCTTGTCTACTGTCACCTGAGCTCACTTGCCAGCCATGCCCTTTGGACCAAGTCAAGGTCAACTTGTATGACCCGAAGGCTGTGGGAGACTCCAAAAACGTACAGGCATAGCTGGCTTTGGCATGACCTTAAGGGAAGCGTTCTCTCCCGGCAACTCTCCCTCCTAGCCTGGCCACAGAGAGGTACTTCATGAAGAAAAGGTGTTGTGGGTTGAACTGTGTCACCACCCCCAACCCCGATCTGTATCAGTTCAGCAGAGCTGCGATTCCCAGCCAGCATTAGGTAGTTATCCTTTATTTTGTAACCTGGTAAATTATAAACGCTCACCGCTATGATGTTAAGAAGGCAGGATGCCGTCTACAGGATTAGTTTGTATCTTAACACAATCTCTTTTGAGATTTAGAAGAGATTAAACCAGTGAGCAGAGACCGGAGAGGTCTACTACCACCCAAAATAATGAGCCAGGGATGAAGTATATCCTTTGCACTCAAGGACCCAGTGCTGAGAACCTCCTACACCCAGGGGTCGGGGGTGGGGTGGGGGGAGGTTGATGTCAAGATCTAGGGATTTAGTCCAAGGAATGCCAGATCCACAAAGGAGACAAAGACCTTCTCCCTACGTGGTGACAGCAGAGGCCCTTTCCTAGAGGCAGCACCCTGAATTTGGACAATGTGAGAGAGTACATTTCTGTTGATTAGAGCAATCTAGCTGTAGTTCTGTTGTAGCAACACTAGAGAGCTACAACAGAAGCCCACTGGGATTCATGGTTCTGCCTTTACCATGACAAAGTGTGCTAGGACACTTTATAGGTCAGCCAGTCCAATGTCCTCATTTTTCCATGAGCATGATTCTGTCGAGGGTTAAGGACATTGCTAAGGCTAGCCACCAGTTGGTGGCAGAGTTCAAGTTCTCTCTCCATACCATGCAGTCACCCAGAGGGCCCAGGTTTTCTTGTTAGGAGGGCAGCTGCCGATGACCATTTTGTTAATTACATCGCCACTTCCCTAATGACAAATGGTAATACATCAGCACCTTTATTTCTTGGCAGTCTGTCTCCTCCAGCGGGGCACACATGCACACACTCGCACACTAGCACAATAGACCCTGGGCTGGAAAACCAAACACACACAGAGGACCCTCTTGTGTTCTAAATGCTATTGAACCAGCTCTCCCCTCCCAAGGTCTGTTTTTCACAGCTCCTCCATGCCTGGGCAGTGGGCACCCTCAACCTCCGTGTCCCTTTCGGTCACTGCCAGCAAGTGAATTCCCACTCATCCCAGACCCTAGAGGGCAGGGGGAGCATCCCTGTGGGTTTCCGAGACTGTAATTGTGTCCCGGAGCAGAAAGTCACATCCTTCTCCATTGGTGGTTTTGAACGGCTGACCTTGGGGTTAACAGCCGGAGACATAACCGCTCTGCCACCAGGGCTCCTCCCCTGTATCCCTGTTGTTGGCTTCTATTTTGAGAGGTAAATATCCGTGGAGACTCACATGATCACTGGTGACTGTTTAATGACTACTTATGTGTAATAGTAAACAATTATGTGATTATCGCTTTTTAGCCAGAGGGCCATCGTGTCTATGTGACAGCTGCCAAGTCTTAGTCTTAACAACTGACAGTCTCCTAGTCTACCAAGTGACTGTGAGCCTCAGCATCATGTATCGAATAACCAACACTGCAAAGTTCTGTGAGCAGCTGCCCGATGGCCCTGGGTGCGAGCCCAACTTACCCTCTGTCTCCCGGCAGCGCCGAAGTTGAGCCTCATGAGTTCGGCAAACCTCTGTTCATAAAGATGAAGCAATAGCACCAGGTATAAGCCGGAATTCATCAGCTCATTCTGTGCCTACATGTGAAAAATATAAGAAATAGTCACGATCTAAAGCAGGCATAAGGCACGTTGGGACCGAGGGCCATAGTAAAGATCTGAGACATTCCCGATGGCAGCCAGCGCCCCAGGCCGCACCAAAGAGAAATGATTCTGACCGTCACGTGTGGGGTGGGTTCATTACAGGTGGACTGTGCACAGCAGGCTAATTTTTAAGTTGGTCATTGTGTATGGCCCCCGAATGATGTTATAGCGATCCAAATGGTCGTCGGCTGGAAAAAAGGTCCCCATCCCGGATTCTGAATCACGGAGTGGAGGGTCACAAGGTCAAGAGGTGGTAAGGAATGGGGCCAGAACTCTGCCCCTAGGAGGTCCTGCCTTTGGGACCAGAGGAGATCCAGGGTAGAGGCCTGGGCAGCCGTTCTCTTGGGAACCTTTATGACCTAGAGAAGGGTGCTCTGGGAAAACACCCTTCTCCAGGATCCATCCCAGCCCATGAACAATGAGTACGCTGTGACATATGCAGAACTTGGCGTTGGGAGTTTTGGGGAACCCAGGCTGTGCTGGGATCCTGTTGTGGGGCTGAGTGCTGGCCTCCAACAACGATGTGTCCAAGCCCTACCCTCAGAACCCGTGGGGTGGCCTTGTTTGGGGGTAAAAGGCCTTTGCAGATGCAATTAAGGATCTTGAGAGAACATCATCTTGGACGTTCCGGGGTGGCCCTCAGATCTAATGCCATGTGCTTGTGAGAAAAAGGCTGAGGAAGTGGTTCTGAGACCGGCAGAAAAGGGACATGCGCGATGCACAGAGAGGAGGCGGCCAGGAGAAGACAAAGCCAGAGGATGAAATCACCAGCAAGCGGAGCGTAGAGCCATCGGAGCTGGAAAATGAGAGGAAGGGGTCTCCCGCCGGAGCCTCTGGGGGGGGGGGGGGGGGGGGGGGGTAGCCCAGCTCAGTAGACGCCTTGCTTTCCGATTTCTGGCCTTCAGTACCCAAGAGAACATACGTGTCTATTTTAAGTCGCCTGTCTACCAAAACCCCACTACATCGAGTTGATTCCAACTCGGGCTGACCCTCTATAGGGTTTCCGAGGCCGTAACTCTTTACAGGAGCAGACAGCCTCCACTGTCTTCTGTGGAGCAGCTGGTGGGTTTGAGCCACCGACCTTGAGGTTAGTAGTCCAACGCTTACCCGACAGTGCCACCAGGGCGCCTATGAAGGAGCCTAGTCTGTGGTAATTTAGTATGACAACCTTAGGAAGCTAACAGGTGTCCGAGTGGGGTCAACAGTTCCTGTATTTGCCTGCTAACTGCAAGGTAGGAGGTTTAAGCACACTTAGCAGCTTCTCAGAAAAAGTCTTGGTGGTCTAAAAAACACCCCCCTCCCAACTCAAAACAAAACATAAAAACAAACAAAACCCAGCTGCTGTTCTATAAACGTTCAGCCAAGTCTCGATAAAAAGCTTTTTAAAAATCCAGCCGCTGAAACCCTCTGGAGCATCATTCTACTCTGACCCAACCGGGATGACCCATGAGCCAGAGTCAACTAACTGGCTTTACTGGCAGGAAACAAAGACAGACCCCCATCACATGATGTGGGAAAGCATGACTCATTCATGAGCAGCTCCGAGACCAGCGGGGAGGGAAGTGTGGCACACACAACGTGGATTGGTTGGCTCTAACATGAAGGCAGGCTTCTTGGAGGAGGTGGCCTTTGGCGGCTGTTGCTGGATGCGAGGCACTCTGGTGGAGGGCAGTGAGGTGTGTGTGTGTGTGTGTGTGTGTGTGTGTGGTGTCCATCAGACAGAAGTACCTGGTACCAGGAAAGGTGAAGGCATGAAAGAGCCCCGTATGGACTGGGCCAAATCCCCCTCTCCCTGGAGAGGCTGGAGGACACAGGGAGGCTGTTGCCAGCACTGAGTGTAGCACCTTTGAGCAGAAAGGCCGACTTGGATCGAGGGAGAGTCTGAGGGCCCAGGTGCCACTGTGGAGCGTGGCTTCCCTGGATGCCTTGTTTGCAGAGAAAGGACCTGCATGGATATTTCCCTCCTGACAGTTGGGCCTAACAATGGTCTTGGCTAAGGTCCCTGCCCCAGCCGGTGTGTGAGCAACGACCCCTAACTCCAGGACCCTCTGTCTGCAGGGGCTCAGCAGCACTGGCCTCAGTGCCTTGGTTTGTGTTCCTCGCACATGCCCTTCCTGTGGGCTTGTCGCATATATCTGCTTTAAATAGCCATCTCCCTTCTTCCCCCCAGACCATATCCGCAATGTCCTTGATGGCCGAAGCAGCTTCCTTCAACTCCAAATTCACTGCCATTGAGTCAATGCTGACTACTGATAGTGACCCCATGGACCGAGTAGAATGTCCACTGTGGGCTTCTGGGGCTGTCTACCTTTCTGGGAGCAGGGAGGCTCATTAGTCTCCCTCGGAGTGGCTGGTGGGTTTCAACTGCTGACCTTGTGGTTAGCGGCCCAACATATAACCCGCTAAGCCACGTCTCATCAGTCTGGTCTCTGCCTCCCACACGGGTATTGTGCATGTTCCCTCTGTTCGCAGAGCTGCTGGCCGCTGGGAAGGCCTCACCTTCGGGGCCTTTCACAGCGGCACATGGTGTTAGTAAGGATCCCCTTCCTGGGTGGGGGTGAGGCAGCTGTGGGAACTGCTTTGAACTCCATCTGCCTTCAAGCCTAGTCCCCAGGGGAGGGGCGTGGAGGTGCTCGGGAAGCAGCCCGGCTCCAGAGACTAACATTCCCAGCAGAGGCCATGGCCCTTGACCTCACCCTCAGGGGAAGACAGAGCTCCGTTTCCCAGGAGACGCAGAGCTTGGATTCGAGCCAGGGACCACTTCAGGGCCTCAGCTGCCTGCCTGCCTGCCTGCCTTCTGCATCAGCCTGGGCCAACTCCCTGTTCCCATTAGATCAAGGACGTTGGCACCCAGTGCACCTTTTCCAGAACAAAGAAGCTATCGGAGGAGGTACTGAAGACCTGAGCACGTTCCTCCTGGATCTGTGTCCCCTTTGGGACCTTGGTGACCACAGGGCCCCAGGGCCACCACTTTCTCCCCCGCTACGGCCCCCGGGGTCCTACAGACCTGCCCTGGAAGGCTCACGTCAAGAAACCTGGGCAGTGCAGCTGCCTGTCTTGAGCTTTGGGCCATGTGTCCTGGGAGCTCCTGGCCTTGGCATGGAGAGGAGGTGGCCTGCTTTCGCCTTTCTGTTTTAATTGCCTCCTGTCATCCTCTCAGGAGGGAGTGGGTGCCCGCTTTCTCCCGGGAGGCTGCCCTGCCGCTGCCTCTGAGGTTGTCCCTGGGGCCACCGCCTTGGGAAGCCTTCCAAACGTGTCTTTCAGCCGGCTCCTCCAACAGACGAAGCCAGGCTCGGGTTTGGCCACCCGGGCTACTACAGCCTCCCCCTGCCCGTGGCCCTGCCCACTGCAGCTCTCTCTCCAATGTGGCACTGTGGCACCCAGGGAACCTTCCAGCAACACACCCTCTGGATGCGGCAGGGGAAATCTATCGGCTAGAAAATGGCTTGCAACTGTCACGCGTGGGGAGGGGGCACTCACTAAGGCCCGGAGGCATGCAGATGGGAAAACAGGCACTCATGTTTTCTGCAGACTGTCACGCGGCGCCGACAGTCATCGTGGGCCCTTTCCTTGGCATGGGACCTATAAAGGCTGGCGGTGCCACGCAGGGGCTTAGCGCGCCCCTCACGGCGGGAGTTTGACCATTTGATCGTCCACTGGGAGTCAGCCATGGAGCTCCCCACCTACAAGTGGGAGGGGCTGGGTATCGGAGAAAGTTCAGCAGAGGTCCACTGAACGTGACCTTGGAGCCTTGATTACAGCCGAGGCATCTTGGAGGGTGCAGGGGTTCCTCGTGGGGCTGCTGTGGCGGTTTGCCACAGCCAGGCCCTCCTCGGGAGGCAGACAGACACTGTTGAGGCTTACCGGGCAGTTCGACCCTGGCCTCCATGAGTTGGCACCTACTCAATGGCAGTGATTTTTCTGTTTTGTTTTCATCACAGCTACTCTCCACCCAGCGACTCATCTCCTGTGGACACCCCTCCACTGTGCCCCTCTGTGCCCCAGCCTGGAGAGGTGGGGTAGCAGTGGCCAGGAGGTGGCCCACGATTTCCACTGCGTCGACATCCACTCTGGCCAAGAGCTCGGCGACTGAGGGGACCCCTTCACGTCATTCACCAGAAGACGCTGACAGCACAGGCACGCACTCTCCATCAACGTCTTCACCTGCGTTCTGGAGAGTCTGACTAGGGGCTGCGTGAGTCCCAGGACATCTGTCCTTGGCTGGGGTGGCTTGAGAGCAGGCCTGTGCTTCGGAGGGATTCAGCCACCAGCCTGCTGAGCCCCTCCTCTGCGGTACTGGGAAGCCAGGTGGCCACTGTATGGTGGGAGAAGGCCTCCCCACCTTTTGCTCAGCGGCCCTCTCTGGCCCTGAGAGCAGGTCAGACCCTCTGCAGATGTCCCCCCGGCTGACTGGGCACCCTGACCCACTTAGGGTCTCCTCTTTGAAGGCAGCGGCTGTGTTGGGCTCCCCAACCAAGGCGGCTCCAGGCCAGTGTCTGACCTACAGTAAGCACTCAGCGAGTGTTTGCAGCATCACCACCATCCACTACTGCTCTCTGTCTGACAACCCAGCCCTTTTACATTGGGGTGAAGACGGTTCCTGGGGGGAAAGGCTTGGTACCACTTACAAGGACAACTGCCTTGCAAACGGTTCCAAGTCCACAACGAAATGCTGAGATCATTAAGAATGCTGCTCCTGGCCCTCCAGGAACCAAATGATGGGTCATAATTGGATGGGCGACCTGGAAGACCATTCCTGGTAAGAAAACGGCCCCAATCGGACAATCAGCTCCTGTCACGGTCACTTTCCCCAGAGCTGGCCGGGTGTCACTGCAGGGGGTGGCTGTGCACCAAGCCAAGGGAGGAAGATGGTCAAGTAGCCAACTTTAAAGGCTTTCTAGGAAATTGGGGCTAAAAATCAAGAAGAAACACACACACACACACAGTTAATATTCTGTAATGTATATTTTACCAGTCTCTCGCAACTGTGATGAAATGTGCATAATGTAAACATTCATAAACTTTATATATTTTAGATGGCCTACCCCAAACCTGGACCCACCCCAAACCAATCACTTCAGAAGGCCTGAGCAGGGAGTTACGGTGTCAGGAATCTAACAGAACTTGACCGAAAAAGGGAGGGTGAGGGGGGAAGGAGGGCGCATTACCTTAAATGTCAGGTGTTATTATCTCTGGTTGGTCAACCGTGGGAAATAGCTGTGTGTTTATGATTTTTGTAATTAGAGTTAAACCAAGGGCGAGGGGAGCCCTCAGTGGTGAAAATACATGGGGAAACGCCAACAAGCCAAGTTGATTGCAAAGTTAGTTGGTTGCACGTGAGCGCTGAGGCGAAACCAGCTGTCGGCCCTTTTTGGCCCAGTTCCTTTCCTTGTGCACGGCTCGATGTGCCAGATGGGACACCAGCCAAGCCCCTCCTCAAAGAGGGAAGCCCCTGCCAAAGCGTGGAAGGTACTGGGGGCCGGCTAAGATTGCTCGAGGAGGCCAGGTTTGGGAGTGAGAGGAAGGGATGCGGCCTCAGAAGCACAGAAGGCAAACACCAACCCTCAGGGCCAGGCTGAGGGGCCTCCCCAAGTGGACGTCGTCCCTGGGTCACGCTGAAGTTGTACAATGTCCTAGATAGCTTCGTGCGGAATGACAGCTCCCTTCCCTCAGTCTTAACCCACAGGGACTTACTGAACGCACCTAAGTCCCACTTCTCTCATGTCTCCAGTTTATCTCAGACCGTTAGCGAACGGATACCACTACATTCACAATGGGCCATCAGGATGGGAGAGTGTGAGCCCACAACGTGTGAGTCCTTCCGCACATCAATATCGCAGTTGGTCCTGGGACCGTGGCTTTCCCACCGGGGTGGGTCTGCTCATCTCGTTTCCACCTGTGAGTATAATGAAGGGCATTTTCAAAAGACTTTGGTGGCCTGTCAGGTTCTCACTGCAACGAATTTAAAATCGTTGCCACTTCCGAGGAGAATAATTACCGTGCTGGATCGTTTGCATTTCCCCTCCAGATCTACTTTCTCCTTGGCTCTGTGCCCTCGAGGCTGACCTCCGAGGATTCATCTGGCAGGCTCCCTTGCCCTCTGCTTCTCTGTTGCGTTTGGCCAATGGGAGGCCCTGGCAGGGGGCCAGAGGGTGTGAGGGGAGAGAGGCTGGGGTGGTAGCTCCCACTGTTCCCTCCCTGCAGGGCAGGGGCATGACGGTGGCAGCTTTCTTCTGGGGACCGCTGGCTGTTGACTGGTCCCCTCCACCAGTGACAGCCCTCCCCATCCCATCCCGCTCCTCCCCCATCACTGCAGGTCTATAGGTGCCTTGCCGTTCCGTTCCTCACTGCCTTCTCTTCCTGCGGTCAGTTTTGTCCCGAAGGACAGCTCTCATCCATCACTCCATTTGCACATGCCATCATCCCCTCTCTACTCTAGCAGACACCATCACTTTCCACGTTCTTTCTAGAATGAGCTTGTGGCTGGTCAGGATGCAGTCAGTTCCCGGGAGACTCAGGGCACGTGGTTCATTCAGCGGTGCATTCCTGCCTGGTCCCTGGCGCACTCTGGCTTTTTTCCCTGAGTGGCAAAGAGGTCGGTCGTGATATGGCCGTTGTAATACAGCAGCTCTGAGTTACTGAGCCCCTTCTCGTGCCTTGCCCTGAATTTTGGGATGTGCGTGTGGCTTTTACTGCCTCCAGCCTTCCCCTTCCTGCAACTCATGCAACAGAGATCTAGAGAGTAGGTTTCCGGCAAGGTCACAAGAAGGGACTAAGACTTAGTCACTAAGTCTTGGGTTCAGACTTTGTTCAACGCTGTTGTGTTTTGCAACGGGCCAGGTTGCCTCTGGCTATAAGAGTGCAGAGATTTTGGTTCACTGCAAAGATCTGCTGGCGGTGGCAGCCAGAAACTATAAATATCACTGGGAAAGGCACAGACTCGGGTAGCAGCAGCTTGGCAGCTGCAGGACAGATGGAAATTCTTGAGACCAAAAGAGACCTTGGCCAGACCGGGCATCCCCTTGGACTTTGGGTACTGGTGATGTGCGTCGTGTCCTGTCACCTGGCCTCATCTGGACATGTCCTTCTCAGCAAGCCTGCCAGGCTCCATTTTTCGGGATGACCTGTGCTTTGGGATGACCACGCGGACTGGGTCTGCGCACTGGCTGGCACCCTGACCTCAGGCTCACGGAACGCCTGGTTCCTTTTAGTATTTTGACTCCTGCGGTCTCAGGGGCTAAGGATGTGAGCTGTTTCTCTTCCTCACCTAGGCTCTCTGTCTCTGTGGGGTAAGCCGCAGTGCTGAGAGGCCGAAAAAATAGAGGAACTCATCAGGCTGAATTTAATTCTCAGACAAGACTCTTTCTCTCTCTCTCTCTGGACAATATCCCGAGGCCTACTTTCTGTGATTCTGCATCGCTAGTACGGCATTATGTCCACTATACCAAGTTCCTAACTGTTCACATATCCTCTTGGCTTGTATCAATTCCAGGGCTATGTCTAGCAGCCTTAGCATTTATTTTTTTAAATAAAGAAACTAGAATTTCCAGAATCATACAGTCCATTTTGACTCAGATTTGCTTCTTACAATAAATAATAAAAGTCTAGATACAGTTAATGAGCTGAGAATTGGAGTGACATTTCGATTGTTAGTCATGATTTGATAGTTTGAAAATGGTGCGCTCTCCATCGGGCTATCAGTCAGTTGTTTCCAATCACGTTACGAGGGAGGTCAGTCTTCAATTACAACGGGAATGACCGGCAAGTATTATTTGAAAACATATTGATTGATGGCTTATTATGTGCCGGGCCTCTCCTTGATGAGGGTCATTCAACAGAAAGACCAGCTACATCTGTAATCAGGAGCGTTCTAGTAGCCGTGTTAAAATAAGCAAAACAAAATACAAGTGAAATTCATTTTAACAATAGACTTTCTTGGACTCCATATATCTCAAATACTATCATTTTAATATGCAATGAATATAAAATTATGGATGTCATCGTTGTTGTTTGTTTGTTTTGTACTTAGGCTTTGAGATGGGGTGGGGGTGGGGGTGGGGGTGTCCCGCAGCACATTTCTGCCAGCCCTGGCTGCATCCTTCAAGGGACAAGTCCCACGTGTGACATGTCTGTGGGGGGGCTGTGCAGTCCCACATGGAAGGTTGATCGCTTGAGAGTTGGGTGATGAAGAGGAGCCTTGCTGGCGGGCATTGTGGTTAGGAGCTGGGCTGTTAACCGCAAGTTTGGCAGTTCAAACCACCAGCCTCTCTGTGGGAGAAAAACAGGACTTTCTACCTACTCCTGTAAATAGTCACAGTTTTGGAAACTCACAGGGGCACGTCTACCCCATCCAATAGGGTTGGTCGGAGTCGGCATGGACTCATTGAGTTCTTTGGGTGATGAACTATTATCCCAGCCAGAAAGCACCCACCACGACCACCCAGGGCCAACAACTTCTTTTCACAGTGTTAGAATTCCAATCCAAATGCCCCCAGGAGACTTAATTCCCTAGGTGTTAAGAAGCACAGAGCAGGCCAATGGTTAACATATTTGGCTGCTAACCCAAAAGGTCTTCTGAAGGTTCCAATCCACCTCGAGGCTCCTCAGAATAAAGGCCTGGCGAATCACTTCTCAAAAGGTGGCCATCGGCAACCCTCCAGGTACACCGTTCCAATCTGGCATGTGAGGGGTTTCCAGGAGTGGGAATCACCGTACCTGCAGCCACTTAACATGTTTTCTTAATCTTGGGTAAAGCGGTTTCTCACGACCCCAGAGCTCCATGGTTTTGAAAGGGGATATCTCTCCGGGAACTTGACTTCGTGTTTCGCTCTTGTTGCCATTCCACCTCCATTGACGTGGTGACGTGGTGACGTGCTGTCCAGTGGAAATTCAGACTCACTGCAGCCCTCCAGGAGCAGAACTGCCCCCGGGGCTTCCTGGGCTCCCATCTATATGGAAGCAGATGGCCAGGTCTTTGCTCTCACGGAGCTGCCGATGGGTTTGAACCGGCAACCTTTCCAGTAGCAGCCGAGCACTTTAATCATTGTGCCATCAGAGCTCCTGAAACTTAAGCGACTCCAGCAGATTTTGTCTTGGAATGTGCTAGATTCTTTGCAGCTTCCTACTTTGGTTCTGACAGCCGGCTGACCATCAACTCAGGACCATGCGGACTTTCCAACTCCTCAGAGCTCTAGTGCAGTGGCCCACCACCATCACTCACTGCTGCCAAGCTGATTCCAACTCAGGGCGACCCTACAGGGCAGGGTAAGTCTGCTTCCTAGGGTTTCCAAGGCTGTCAATCTTTACAGGAGCAGAAAGCCTCATCTTTCTGCTTCAGAGCCACACGGAGGTTTGAACTGCCGACCTTTTGGTTAGCAGTTGCCAAAGAAGTGGGCTGGATGGGCACTCTTCATCTCCCTCCACATGAGGCCATCTATGGGCCTGAAGCTGAGTAAAGTGGCATCATTCCCTTGGCATGGCCAGCCAGTTGAGGTGGCCAAAGGGGTGGGGATTGGGGGGGGGGGTTGTTTCTTACCCGGGATTGCTGATGCCTCTGATAGAACTCTGTCAGGTTAAAGTCCTCCCGATCGACCAGCAGGGCTTGCTTACACATTTCACACGTCTGCACGGCACCTAGATCTGCTCCTTAAATTAGACGGAGAATTACACGTTACATAGAACCCTGGGCCGGTTTGTGTTGGCACTTGGGACAGGCGATATTTTGAGAGCCGACGTGTGTGTGTGTGTGTGTGTGTGTGTGTGTGTGACGAATCCTGAGTGGCAGTGACCTTCATTTCCAAGTCAGCCATCTTCTGGAGTGTGACCTTGAGCCTGAGATCTGAACAATGTCCCTTGTAATCATTTCCATTATGATGCAAGCTTCACAGAAGTGAAATTTCCATGACTTTTAAATAGCAGGTCTCCCTTCCTATTTCAATGTTCGCATAATGGCTCATCACAGTAGTGGAGCTGAGTCTTTTAGGTAGATGTTTGCCAAAAGAAGGAACCTTGGGCCCATGCTATATATTTCTCTCTCCACAAATACACACACACACACACACACACACACACACACACACACGTTTTTTCCTCTTGCAGACATAACCAAAGTCTACGAAAAAAAGCAGTGGGGCTCAAAGGGATGGAAGAAGCTCTCTTCAACTGGTGACCTAAAAATCTGCCTGTATTCCTGCTGCCCAGGTGACATTCGCACCTGGGGAGAGTCAGGCGGGGAGCCAGGGGCCAGGGGTCAGGAGTGGATCTTAGTTCTAACAGAATCTAGGGCCCAGACTAAGCTGAGCGCAGCCTCCTTGGAGAAAAGAAACCTGAGGGTGTTTCCCTTGTTGCTAGGGTGTGTGTGTGTGTGTGTGTGTGTAACCTGAGGGTGTTTCCCTTGTTGCTAGCGGTGTGTGTGTGTGTGTGTGTGTGTGTGTGTGTGTGTAACCTGAGCGTGTTTCCCTTGTTGCTAGGGGTGGGGGTGGTGTGTGTGTGTTTCAAACAGGCAATCCACATCAGCATTTTGTGTGTGTGTGTGTGTGTGTTTCAAACAGGCAATCCACATCAGCATTTTTCCCTTCCCAGACCCTATTTCCCAGGGCACAAGTAAAAGATGTTGCATGGTGGCCATCTGTCCCTACCCTCTGCCGTACACTTTTCCCTCTGCAATGATGGCTGCCTTTTGGCTAATGACCTCAAGGGGAGGGGAGTTTATTTTATGCAGTAGGCAGCATAGACCAATGAGCTACCTGGCTTTGGTAAAGAGGGAGCTTGGGCAGTTTGGGGGGTCAGTTCTGTCTTTTTCTTCTGGGGATATAAAGAAATACTTAGCTAGACTTTTCAAAGGACAAGATGCCCCAGTGATTCCTTATCTACATGTTGTTTACTGACTGGTGGAGGTTGTGTTTAGCATCAATCCGCAATGCTTGAGGCTACCGAATGTCCCATGTGTCTTGCGAGCTCATCCTGCCGAACAGACCCATGTTAGCATTGGCACGCACAAGCATTTAGCAACGCTTTCAACATGTATTGCACGCGGACGTTTCCTGTGGCCCAAATGTCTGGTACGATCAAACAGCTTAGGGCAGAGGCAATGGCAACTGAAGTCCATCTTTTTTTTTTTTTATTTGGGGTTTTTTTTGCTCTCTGAAGGACTGAGTAATTGCTTGGCCTGTGACTCCTGGGTGGGTGGGTGGGAGCTGCAAGGGTAGGTACAGTCATGGATAGAGAGCTTCGGGGATGTGGTACCAAATCTGGTTACCCCACGGTGCTCATTCCTCGGCTTACGAGGTGTGCAGTTTGGGTGCAGGGCACCTCCATATGTCGTGTCTTGGGGACAAGGCCAAGCCCTTCCTCTCCCAGGCAGCCCCAGGAGGGGGGTTGGGAGGAGGGAAGCAGGGCTGCTGGCCCTGCGGGTGGGTGTGTTCCAGAGAACCCGGCCGCACAGAGAGCAGCTCTTTTGAATGGAGTCACTTGGTTTTGCATGGCTGTCTCATGCTGTCTGGTTCAAGTTGTTCATTCCCAGAAGCCTGTTTAAAAGACACCTTCGCGTCTCTGCCAGTCAGACGACAGCAGACCGAGTGGCGTGGCTATATTTAGGTTAGACCTTCCGCAGGGAGCCAGGAAGGGGCTTCACACCCAGTTAGGAGATCTGACCTAGGGAGAGAGTTGACAACTCCAGTGCGGGGAGGGGTGGGTATGCGGATCTCATGATGGAAAACGAGTTTTGGAAATGAGCTCAGCTTTGGATCACCAGGCGGCTTTGCTCAGGGGCCTGGGTGGTCTCTCCCCGCCCCTCTGAGGGAGCAGCAGAAATGCCTGCATCCCTGGCTTCTTGTTGGGGGACAGACTGATTTTTTTTTTTTTTTTTTGCTGGGAGTCAGCTAGCTGGGCCCAGCCGGCCTGGGGCTCAGCTCCTGACCCATTTCTTGGAGATGTTGGCATCTGGGCTCAGGCCTCCAGGCAGGGTGGGAGGCAAGAGCATGAGGTTCCAGATTCTTCCCTCCCCCCGAAAGGAAAGAAAGTGTGTAGACCCGCTGTCTAGACCAGGGCTGAGGGCAGCATGGCGGGGCTCTCTCTGCTGGGGGCCAGGAGGGGGTAGGGCAGCGCGCGGTGGTGTCTGGGAGTCTCTTCCTTCCCCACCTACCTGACGTAATTTTCACCTGCAGCCACTTTTTCAGGCACTCGTGATGAACGAACCGCAGGCTCCCCACACAGCTGCAGGGCTCCAGGAGGGGGTTGGCCGGGGACCCCCCGGCTATCTGGCAGATGCGACACAAGTCTCCCTCCTCCTCAGAGTCCTCCTCCAGGAGACTAAAGGGAAAACAAGCCCTCATGACCAGCCGTCTGTCGACACCCTTGTAGTTCCCACATATCCATTCCTGGAGTGGGTGCTCGTGGGGCAGGGCATGTGGGTGTGTGGGGGAGATGAGTCCCCAGCTCTCTGCCCACCTGGGCTTCCGGGGCTCACCCGCTGCGCCCTCTGCCTCCCCCCAAGTAATGACCCAACCCTTCAGGCCCCTATAGGACGGAGCAGAACTGCCCCAGAGGGTCTCCCAGGACTAAATCTTTACAGAGGCAGACCCCCACAGAGCGGCAGGTGGGCTCCCACCGCTGGCCTTTCAGTTAGCGGCCAGGCCCTTCAGTCATGGCTCCTATGGTGGGTAAGCCAAACAAGAGAAGCAGAACCCAGAGCCTGCCTGCTAGAGAGCCCGTGCCGACTCACAGCAACACTTTGGGACAGGGTGGTACTGCCTCTGACTTTCCGAGGCTGGATCTGTTGACGGGAGTAGAAAACCCCATCTTTCTCCAACGGAGCTGGTGATTTCGAACTGCGGACCTTGTGGCGAGCAGCCCAACTGTCAGCACGGTGTCACCAGAGTTCTGGCCGGTTATGAGAGTAGATGCAATCATCTTTGTATCAGACTCCTCTGTCGTTATTGATACTGGTGGGTGGCCTGGTGACATGACCAGCCAAGAGTGGGGGTGGAAGGGGCTCCAGAGGGGAAGGGGGCAGGTCTGAGCCGTCCTTCCTACTGAGCTGCCACCAGCATGTTGTTGGCGGGTGTAGTGATGCCAGATGGATGGGTGGCCTGGGCCTGGGTTTGACACCTGCCCAGGTGCTCTGAGCTTGGGCAAGTTATTAAAACTTACTTAACATGAATGACTGTACCTTCTCCATATGTAAAACAAAGGCGATGACACTACAAATTCTATTTCTACCGACTTCACAGGGTGGTGGGGCAGACGGGAGGCAATGGTGATGGAGAACCTGTTTTGCAAACTGTTCCATGAACCCAAGGTCTGGGAAAAGAGCGACATGTTCCAACAAACAAACAAATAAAAACAAAGCAAAACTAGTTGCCATGGACCCAATGCTGGCTCAAGACAACCCCAGGCGGCTCGGAGTAGAACCATGCTCCACGAGGGTTTCCCTGCTGAGTGTAGGCACGCAGATAGCCAGCCCTTTCTTCCGAGGTGCCTCTGGGAGGACATGGACACCGAACTGTCCGTGGGCACCACAAAAGTGCCGCTGGTTTGGAGGAACGAAAAACCAACAAACTTGGACATGAGCTCATCACTGGCACCACTTGCCAGCAAATTATGTCCCCGTGGCAGCATGTCAGCTGCTGGGATCTGACGAAGACCCTCCGGGTGAGCATGGAAGCAGAGATATTAGGGTCTGAGAAGTAGGACAGGAGAGCCCTGGTCCTCGACCCGTCAGTGCGCCACATCATTGGGTTTCGACGCAGAATGTCGAGAAAACTTTGCATCGGAGCTCGAACAAAACATCCGAATCCGACCCTACGCAGGTGATTTTTATAAACAAAAGCGGTTCGTGTTTCGGTCACTCGGCATTAGTAGGCATTGTTTAAACCTTTTGCAGCTGTGTTCCAAGTGTTTTGCTATAGATTTCTTAGTTTCTGTGGCTTCTGATTAAAAAACAGGCGTCCTAAGAAAGCATTCCTTGAAAAGAATCATTATGACAAGGAACTGGTTAACCGCGTTACCGATATTGTTGATAATTTAGTAAACCCTTTTAGACAACAGTAAGTAAAGGAAACGCCAACAGCGGACCACATGAGACAGATTTTTTTTTTTTTTTTTAGAGAAAGCCAGCCAGGTCCTAGTGAAAAAAGGCAAAGAAGAGAAAAAAAGCTCCTGAAAAGCAGCGACCAGTTGATTTGATGGAAGGGGCTTCCCTTCCACACAACGACTCTCTCTGCATGCCTCCTCTCCACATCCGTGTCCACAGATCCAGATCCTCATCCGTCTCCAGGTATGGGCCATCCTGTAGTTATCAATTTTACCTTTTATGTTGTGCTTCTTATTTAAATTATATTATTAACCTCTGAACCTACTGACTTTGAAATTTCGGTGCCATGTTTTATATAAAAAGACAAGGTTGGGATGCAAACTTGGTGGGCGAGAACGGATTAATCCGTTTTCAGTTATTTCTTATGGGAAAATGGATTTGGAACTCGACTGCTCGCACCTCAACGGTCCTTCTAGACCAGCTGAGCGTCGAGGTCTGGGGTTCCTCTGTAAGTGAAGAATGGCTGGCTGATGTTCACTCACGGAGTCCCTTTGGCACAGTTCGGCACAAAAGCTAATTTGGTTGTTGGGGATCCCTCAGACTGAGGACTGCCTGGTTTAAGGCCATTGCTCTGCGCCTTGAAGCACATCCTGCCTCTTCAGGGACTTTCAATGAAAATCCACAGAATTACAGGATATTCTGAATACTGAAGATTTTCAACAATGAGAATGGCGGTGAGGCCGCAAATACCTAAACCTTTCCCGAAATGCAGTTTGACAATATGCACTGAACGCTTTAAAAATGCCGAGTCCCTCTCATCAGCAATTATACACTTAAATAGCTATATTCCTAATTAATTAATTATGGATAAGCTCAAAAAGGAAACTAATCAAATGACAAGATACATGCGATCTGAAACAAGTTCTTTGGAAAATGTGTATAATGTTCTAAGATAAGAAAACTGGCTTTAGTTTCAAAGGAAGAAAGTCCTAGTTACAGATGAAATGATTTTCTACGCAGCAAAGCTCAGATAATTAATTTACTGACAAATATATTGGAATGAAAAAGAGTGTTTAACAACAATACAGAGAAAATATACAGTCACTTGTATTGCCATACGTCAGCAACACAGTTATCATTAGACTTTAAAAAGAGTGTTTCTTTAACAAAAAAGACAAAAATACCAAAGGTGTAAAAAAGCCCCCAAACCAAGTTGTCATCGACTTCATTCTGCCTCATGGTAGGCCAGTGTGTGCCAGGGTTGACGGCGCCCCATTGGAATCTACCGGACAAAATGTAGGTAACACTGTCCTGAAGAAAGCCTCACTATGACACTGACGGGCTGTGTAGAAGACATAAGCAAATGGAGACACGCACCACGTTGAGAGAAGAAAGGCCCAATATTGAAAGCTGTTAATATGCCCCCCAAGTAGCTACAGATTCAGTGCAGTTCCCATAAAAATCCCCATGTGATGCAGTGAATGACTTCCTATGGCTTTCCAGCCAGAGTCTTTGTGACTTCCACCAAAGAACTTCCCCCCGCTGGTCGGAGTAAGAGGAGGGTGGGGAAGAGGGCGCAAGGAGGATCTGATTCAGTCGTGAACGAGAGTGAACAGAGCTGATCCTGTTGTAAAAGCTTGGAACTTGAACATGAGGACGGGCCAACTTTGCCATCCTGCTGGGTAGGAAATGAGTCCCCTCGGCAACGGAAGTGGGGAATCTTCACACTATCAAAAAGAAGAACCAAGAGTGGAGCACATCCTTTGGACCCTGAGATTCCTGCACTTTGAGCCTTTTCCATCCGGGGACAGAAAGCTGTCCACACGAGGGAAGCAGCCTAAGAACGGCGGCAGCAGAGCCAAGAGCCAGAGCATACGGCAGCTGGTGGGTTTCCCAGCCCACAGAGCAACGAAAGCTGAGTGCCTCCAACACTCAATTGGGAGAATTAGGTTTGCTGACCCCTAGGTCTGAGGCTTATGGGAGGGTAGCATACTCTTTGGGCATTTATTGCCAGCCCTAAAAGAGCTTTGCAACTTTGCCCAAGCGGGGCAGAGGCCAGGCCCATGGGCTGAGGGCCAGAGAAAGGCCTGCGTGAGGGCACGGAAGAGCAGTGATCCTGACCAAAGAAGCACACTCAACAATTGAGAACCTGCTGCATTGCCCCGAGTATAGACTGTGAGTGATGTGCAGGCACTGCAGTGAACCATTGAATCCAGATGGGCGTAAAGAGTGCCGAGAGGGATGGCTGGGGTCAGACTCGGTATGGAAGGTTGGAGGGTGGAAGCATGTCTGACCTTGGCATCATAGGAATTGGCCCTGGGTTGAGAGGACGTTTGATTCTTCCTCCCCTTCCTCACCTTTTAGATCTCCCCAGAGGCTGATTCTTAAATGTATATAGTCACAGTCTCGTAAAGAAGAACAAAGGGGAGGGGGAGGCCTTAGATCATCAGGTATAAGGACTTATAAAACTGCAGACACTACAATGGTCTAGCACTGGATTAGAGAAAGGCAAACGGATCAATGGAATCAAACAGAGCCCTGACACAGGCCTCCCCCTTGATAGGCAGGTCATTGACGACAGAGGTAGTCCCGAAGTCCAGCAGGGCAGGAATCTGGCGTAACTTCCCCTTAGGGTATTCATAAAGGGAGAAAATAGATCTTACTTCATATTACATTAAAAAAATCACTTAGCCTTTAAGTCTGAACGCTTCTTCACCTGAAGTACAAAACTGTGCTATGAAACTCTGGAGCTTTTGGGGAAGACTCTGAAGGAAACACAGTGCTTTCAGATTCCTTCATCGAAGGGATTTCTTCAGGCAGCCCATCGCAACCCATAAAGAACACGTTGGATACACTTGATTACCTGAAACTTAAAAGGTTAATTTTCCTCAAAAGACGTCTTCAAGAACGAAGCCGTAAACCGGGACGACACTTTCCGCATGTAGTGACTGAGGACTCAATGGTTACCTAGGTGACATACAGGACTTCCAAAATAAGAAAGACATTCTGAAAGAGCCGTCAATGGCAAATACTTCACAGAAGAAGAAACACCACCAATGGTCATTTGACATTTCAAAGATGCCGAACCTCATTAATAGTTATGAAAATGTACCCTAAAGCTGCGATGAGATATTATTTTCCTCACCAGTCTGACAAAAGGAGAGCTGGAGGAGTCTATCGGTACACTCACTCTTCACAGATGGACACCTGAGTTGTCAACATTTTGCTGTTTTGTACATTACGCATGTGCACGCGGTACTAATGAACAGCGAAGAGCCAGGTGAGACCAGCACTGGCTGTAGGTTAAGGTTGCGTGTCAACTAGGCTGCCCCGTGACCCTCAGTGGTTTGGTAATTATGTAACGAGGTTGTTGGGCAGTTATGTAATGATGTGGTCATCTGCGGCTTGGTCGTCTGCTGTGTATAAATGGCGATTGCCACCATATTTTTGGCATTGTAAAGACCTGGGCTCCGGAAGCTAACCGTGTTGGCGAGGATGGGCAGTGCTCTCCATTACTCGTGGGTCAATAAAGTTGGCATTGAGTGCAATGTGGTACCCACCAGCCCAGAAATTCCACTTCTACCTCTTCCACAGAACTCTTGATCACGTGCGCTAGGAGACATTTACAAGAAAGTTCATGTAACACGCTGTTTGCAGAAAACCAAGAGGCTGAGCTCCAGTGTCCAGGCATACCTCAGGGCTGCTGTAGGTCTGGTTCCAGACAAAGCCAGTATCAGTAAAGGGAGTCACGCTACTTCTATGGTTTCCCCATGCATATAAAAGCTCGATTGACACTAGACTGTAGTCTGTTTAAAAGAGGCCTGGTGGCGTAGTGGGTTATATATTGAGCTGCCAACCCCAAGGTCAGCAGTTCAAAACCACCAGCCACTCTGCAGAAGAAAGGTGAATCTGTCTGCTCCCATAAAGATATAGTCTCAGCAACGCACAGGGGCTGTTCTACTCTGTCCCAGGAATCAGCTTCGACTCGAAGGCAGTGAGTTTCGCGAGAGGGTGATTGGCTAATTAGAGAATCCCAGCCCTGGTCCTGTAGTGGTTATGCGTTGGGCTGCAATCTGCATGGTCGGCAGTTTGAAACCACCAGCAGCTCCAAGGGAGCAAGACTGGGCTTTCTACTCCTGTGACAGGTACAGTCTCTTGGAAACCCACAAGGGGGCCACTATGAGTCAGCGTTGACCTGATGGCAGTGAGTTTTTGTTTCTTGGTGGCGTAGCAGTTGAGTGTCAGGCTGCTAACTACAAGGCCACTGGTTTGAAACCATCAGGTGCTCCATGGGAGACAAACGAGGCTTCCTCCTCCCATCAAGGCTGACAGCCTGGGACACCCATTGGGCAGCTTTACCCTGCCCTAAAGGGTCACCAGGACTCAGAATGGACCCGAAGGTGGTGAGTTTTGTTGTTTGGTAGTCTCTTAAGCAAAAAGTTTGGAATACTGTGAGAATGACCAACCTGTGGTAGAAAGACACAGAGCGACCACTTGGTGTTGGGGAAATGGTGCCATAGGCTTGTTTGACCCAGGGTTGCCACACACCCTCACTTTGTAAAAGTGCAGTGTCTGCGGAGCACAATAAAGCAGAGCGTACGCCCACGATGTACGAACGTGTCCTATAGCAGAAGGTTCTACAAGGCCCACGAAAGCCAAAGATGGCAGCCAGGATGTGTCTCACTGCGGTGAAAGGGGCAGGCCAGGCTCTGAGATTGGAGCCATGCGACTTTATTTACACAAAGGCCCTAAAGCTACACATGCTGTATTGTGTTTTTGCCAACCACACGGCCCACCCTTGTGCTATTTTAGTAAGCGGGCTTTGACTTCATGTTGTATGTGTGACCGAGTTATTTATGTGGGTGCGTTGTTTGTGGGAAAAATACGGTACCTATGCTAAGACTATAAGGCAAAAAATACAACAACCCCCAAACAAACCCTTCCAGAACAAAACCCAGAGAAATGATAAATGAAATACACAGATAGTCTCCTGTGGGGGCTATCGATGTGGGCGAGGGGTCATGAGAGCTTCAGTGCCAAGAACAGTTTTATCCAGCTAGAGGGTGGGCACAGAGCTCTCTGATGTATTTTAGAACATTGTCTAAAGCAGAGGTCCTCACCCTTCCTAATGCTGCGACCCTTCCATACAGTTCCTCCTGTGGTGGTGACCCCCCCAACCATAAAATAACTCATTTTGCTACTGTTAGGAATTGCGAGACCCTGTGAAAGGGTCGTTCGACCCCCACAGGGGTCGGGACGCAGGTTGAGAACCGCTGGTTTAGAGAGATGGAAACACTATTTTCAGAAGTGTGTAGATCTGCCTGAAGGTTGAGAATCGCTGCTCTAAAGCATATACAGAGTCCTCAGGTGGCGCAAATTGTTAAGCCCTTGGCTGCAAGTTGAAAGATTGGCAGTTCAGACTCACCCAGTGGTGCCTTAGAAGACAGGCCTGATGATCTGCCTATACAAGGCCCGCCTTAACCTTTCTATGCAGCAGTTCTACGCCGAACACATGGAGTTGCCAGGAATCTGAATCAACCACCAACAGGTGAACACGTGTCACACACTCTCTGTATGTCTGGTAAATTTCAGACTCATGAAAACTCTTAGGAGAAGGTAAGGGGCATTGAGAAATGGACTGGAAATATCGAAGTCTACTATATGATAACATGAGCCAGTTCTTGTTCAAAATCGCACCTATACACAAAGAAAAAAAGACCGGAACCCACTTTAACAGTGCTTATCTCTGGATGGGGCTAAAGTGATTGTTTTAAAACAACTTTTTAAATTCTAAACTAGGTGGGTGATTTTTCTTTTAAGTCAGCACTTTGTTTTGTTTTGAAGTCTTATTTATTTTACCCTCCCCCCTCCAAAACCATTTTATTAGGAGCTAATCCAGACATCACAGCATTCCATACTTCAATCGTATCAAGTATTGTTGTACAATCACCACCGCAATCAGTTTCAAAACATTTTTTTCCTCCTTGAAGTCCTTCACCTCCCCTGCTGTACCCCCAGGAACCCTTCTTCTAGTTATTGCCTCTATCAATTCATCGATCCTGGGTTCATAAAAAACCCTAACAGAGAGTCAAGAAGGCAGAGACAAACCTCAACAGGAAAAAACAAGCCAACAGAAAGTATTAAAAACCAGAGCAAGCGCAAAGTATATAAAAATGGAGATCAAGTGATAAGGTTTTAACCATTCAAATCATATTTATCATTTTAATGTACTATATAGTCTCTCCAAGACTCTCTTTCTGACAACCAGGTTACACCCATCCCTCCGATGACTAAGCCTCATCGGAGGCTTAGTCCCTGTGTAGATACTACAAATGTATATTGGGCTTCCACTGTCATCCATAGCCTTCTACACGCTAGAATCTCACAACTTAAGCTCTGATGCTATTCCCTTTTCAGATTTGGTTTATATAATTTACAATCCTAGGATCACAGATGCTGGTGTGCTTTTCCATGAGGGCTTTGTTGATGTCTCACTTAGATAGCTTTCGTTTGAAAATAGCTCAGTATTTTTAATATCTCCTTAAATTGACATTTTTGGAAAGAAGAAGAAAAACATGAAGTTATGTATGAAACGAGGAAAGTGTCCCGTTAACTAGGAAGCCCACAAATAATACCTGTCTATAACGCGTGTCATGTATCGCCTCACCTAGACGTGAGTGCCTTTGAAAAGAAACGGATGTGCAGGCATTCACTTTGGGCTGGTGGAAACCCAGACTCCCAACAAGTGAATCTCCCAACAAGCTGTATTACGGGGCAGCTGAGGATGGTGTGTGTGTGTGTGTGTGTGTGTGTGTGTGTGTGAGACTCTGGGCCTTTTACTGATTTACTGAGTAGCGGGGCAAAGTTTAAAAAAATGCTGCTAACTGGAGCCTGCTGGGGACTCAAGTTGAATAACAGATACATCTTTCCCCCTCCCCCACCCCCATCCCTTCTTACATTTCTGATTCACTGTCATGGAGTTTCCTCACATGCAAAAGAATGTCAATGTGATCATCAGTGGTCCACGTTCGCCTTACAAACACACAGAGAGTTTGCCTGCAATGAGCCAACTACCTTCTAGACCCGGAAGCGGAGATCCGGTCGTGGTAAACATCTACCAAAAAGGAAATGGTAGCACCCTGACATGCTGTTTCATGATGGCTGCGAACAAGATCAAATTTTATAGCTGTGAAATATCCCAAAATCATCTCAGAAGAAAAGATAAAAAGACAATTAAAAAAAAAAAGATCTCATTTCCTTCGCGCTCATGCATGAAACGGAAGCAGCGGTCACCCCCATGGGCCATCGGAGAGCCCAGGTAACTACGGCCACTGTTTGGGATTGGCCTTTTAGTTTGGAAGGTTCAAATTCAGGAACTGTTGGTTGGATTTGTGCTAAGTCCCAGTGGGGAGAGCTGTGAACTTCAAGTGCTGAATGGTTCTTTCTCGGGGGACCTAGCAACCTTTTCTTTAAAAACAAAGCAAAACAAAAAACCTTGGTTCTTAATTGTGGGTGAGAAGAACTAGCTGGACGCAGTAAAGGAAAACCCTTTACCTGGCAAAGCTGCCTTTCCTCAAGATAGGGCATGGGAGGAAAAACAAACATACGTTTGGGGCATCCTTAAGACACTGAGCAGGAACATTAAACTTATTGGGAGACAGATGGGGCTGTCTATCTACTCTTGTCAACAGTTACTGTCTCAGAAACTCACAGGGGCAGTTCTCTGTCCTATAGGGGACCTAGGGGCCAGCATTGACTTGATGTATAGATATAGATATAGATAGATAGATGATAGCTACACATACGTATATACATATATATGCACACACACATCAATATGTATATAACGATATCCTTATGAGCAACAAAGTAAAGATTGTGCTCTCAAAACAAGCAATCATCAGGTAATCAGATCGAGCCTATTTGTGATTTGAAAGTCACGTGGCCCTCTTAATGACAGCACTGCCTATTCGAGCATTGGCAAAACTGGAATCTAAATATAAGACCCAAATATATTTCATATAATTACTCTTAATTATACAGACACACATATATTTTATAGATTTCTATCCCCTTGAAAATGCCTTACCTCTCTTGCAATTTCTTGAGTTTCTCAGGGTCCGCCTTTACCTTCTCGGCCGTCTTCTCAGCGGGCAAGCCAGGGGCTGCCATTCGGTTCCCATGACCACGGTGATCTGCTAAGTCCGACAGGGCAACGAGGGTGAAAGGTCTATTTTCCTGCAGGGGCCCAGGCATAGGAACCTGGCCTGCTAGGTTCATTCGTGGGGGGGAGGCGCTGGAAGAATCCACGGCGGACAAGCCGCCTTGAGAGTTTCGCAAGAGAGTCTCTGCAGATAATGGGGCCCCCTGAGGTTGGCTTGTTAAGGTATTAGCTTCTGCTCCCCTGCCATCAAGTTCTCGGGCACTGTTGACTGGAAAATTACTGTGGAGTTCAGCGCTGGGCACTGGGGTTCTGTGTCTGATGGGGGAGAGTGGCCGACGACCATTGAATCGCGAGCTTCCCTCTGCGTCTGAACTGTGGACAGAAGACACCGACACTGACAAGTCCACCGCAAGCCCGTCCCTCCGAGCAGGACGGGTCAGTGAGCCCGGGGCGCTAAGAGATGAATTCGCAGAGGACCTGGGGGCTGGGGGCCTGTTAGAAAGCAAACAGTCGAGCGAGTTTGGGGGACCGTCTAAGTAGTCCAGCCACTCTCCTTCATAATCGTGGCTCTGAGGCCCATTGGCAGCACTGCGGCCATCGCCTGGTCGGGGTTCGGCTTTGGAGGCCCGGGAATGAGAGCTCTTCCGTTTGCATTCACTGTCGCTGCTGTCCGGCTCTCCATCAGACTCCCCGTCCCCCCACTCGGGCTCTGGGCACCGCCTTTGCCCCAGAGAACGCTGCTCGGCCGGCCGTGCATTGCGGCCTCTTAATGAGCTACGGCCATGCGCGCTTCTGAAAGGATCGGCTCTGCACCTTTCAGGATCCCCTTCAAACGTCTTATTTGGGGGCTGAGTGTCCAGTTTCCCAAGAAAGCGACTTCTCTTGCGATTGGGAGGAGAGTGGGGCGGGCGCATACTAGACAGCAGGAGTTCTTCCTCAAAGTGGGTCTCCTCTTCCGTGCCATCGTCGTCCCCTCCGGTGCTTGGTGACAACACGGAATAAAAATCTTCATCTCTGAACCTGAAAGGGGTCTGTCTGGGCCCTCCGGCGCTCGTGGATGTGACTGGTGGGCTCAGGGACTCACTCGGTCGCTGAGGACTATTTGCCCCTTGGATGACCTGGGACAGAGCTGAAGGGGGCTCTCTCTGGGAAAGAGCACCCTGGCCCCGGCCTTCGGCTCCCTCCGAGGTGTTCTCCGTGGTCCTGGTCAGCCGAGAGGCTGCGACGACCAGTCTTCTCTCTCGGGTTGGCCTCTGCAGCTTAGTGGCGCTTGCCCACTCTGGGCCTTCTTGTGTAACTCCTGGGTCTGCATTGAGAAAACACAAACAGAGCGAATGTTTGAGAATGATGAGGGCAATGAATGTACAAATGTGCACGACACAATGGATGTATGTATAGATTGTGATAAGAGTGGTATAAGCCCCTAATAAAACGATTAAAAAAAAAGAGGAGCTGATACCAAGGGCTCAAATAGAAAGCAGCTCATGGGACAGAGGGAACTGCCCCCTAGGGTTCCAAAGCCTGCCATCTTCCCAGAAGCAGAGTGCCACAACTCTTGCCCTGAGGAGCACAGGGTGGGGTTGAACCACTGACCTTTCAGTTCGCAGCCAAGCTCTTAAACCACTGGGCCCCTAGGGCTCCTTCTTTGCACTAGCTCTTAGTCAACGCGCAAACTCTGCACTGTCCTTGCGACTTGTTCTGTTTGAGCCCACTGTTGGGCCGGCTGGGTCATTCCATCCCAGCCACGGCCTTCTTCCTCTCCGTTGCCCTTCCACCCCACCAAGGACCGGCCTCTCCTGCTCGCCATCCTCGATTCTAAAGGAGCATCGATGTCTAGAGAGCACATCCTAACGGCACATACGGAAATGCGCTAGTCTCATAGCACATTGTAAAGAGGGACCCAAGACAGGGAGATCAAGGAACCTGCCCAAGAGCCTATTTCGGATAAGTGGTAGAGTGAACAATTTGAACCCAAGCCTGCCTCACTCTAGTTTATGCTCTTAACCACTATCTTTTGTCATCGCTCTTGAATTAAGAAAAAATCCCCCCCCCCCAAGTACCTGGTTTTTAGAAGACTATGGATGACAGTGGAACCCTAAAACATTTCTCACACATGGATTTAGCCTCCGGTGAATTCCCTCTGATCATAGTTGAGGGAGGTGAATAGCCCGATATCAGACAAGAGGGCGTTGGAAAGCTGATTATGGCGACATAGGTCAAAATACAATAGCTTATCATTTGATCTCCCTTTTAAAGCAGTGAAGGGGAAATACATATAAATTAAAAGCCCTGGTGAATCCCCTCTGCCCATGGGCCAGGGATGTGAGTGAATGGTTTTGCGAAATGCAGTATTAAGTGGATTATTGCAGACGCACTTAGATTAAAATGTAGCACCCTTTCATTTGATTTCCCTTATGATGTATTTAAATTTGTTTTAGCTTTTAGTATTCTTTCTGTTCGACAGATTTTTAAAGTGTTTTACTTAGTTATGGTTGTTAGTGTTTTGTTCTTAAATGTTTTTCTGCATGTGAAATCCCAGATAGGTAAATCTAAAAGACAGGAACTAGATTAATGGTTCCTTGGGGGGTATGCCAGGAAAGGCTGGGGGAAATGGGGAGCTAATAATGATGAGTACAAGAATGAAGAAAATGTTCTAAAACTGATTATGGTGTGATTAAACTATTGAATTCTATGCCGATAAAACTGTTGGGGGGGGGGGGAGAAAATTAGGAGTTTACATTTCAGAGCATCAACTTTATATTCAACAGTTTAAACCATCAAGAACCCCCCTCCCCAATAGCTTACCCCTCCCCTGCTCTTTGATTTCTCTTCTCCCCATCTCGACCACCATTCTCCATTCACCCAAGTTAAGACCTGTCTGCCGTCCAGTCTTTTGCTTTATTTCTGTCCACCCCCCTGTGTTAGTCGGGGTAGACTAGCAAAACAAATTCATAGACACTCGTGTGTATATAAAAAAGAGCTTTATCTACAAGAGCAATTGAGAAAACATTCCAGCCCAGTCCAGATCAAGTCCATAAGTCCGACATTAGCCCATATGTCTGATACCAATCTATAAATTCCAGTTCAGACTCACAAAACACATGCAATGACACTGAATGCAGGAAGACCACAGCCAGGGGGTAGAAAGTCTTGTGGATCCAGTGGCGGTAGAGGCATCTCAGTGCTGACAGGGGTCTCCACGTGGCTCCTCCATCTCTAGGGCTCTGGCTCTATCAGTGTAGCTCCATGTGGCTTGTTAACAGGAATGGTGGATCAGAGAGTGTGTCCCACCTCCAGGGAGGAAGATAGGAGTTCCCAGAATCCTCAGGAGAAGGCCATGTCCACACAGAGGCCTCACTGGCTCTGACCTGATTGACAGGCTAGCCTCCACCCCTTCACTCAAGTTGACAGGAGATTATGTTACTGCCACACTCCCTTTGTTATGAAAGTCTTTTTCTTGCTTTGGGGGGGGGGGGGGTTGCTTTAATTTTTTATGAAAGGGACTGAACTTCCAATTTCCTTGTGAAAAACAGAATCCTTTCAATTCACCGTGATGTGTGTTGTTGAGGTTTTTACCCTCTCAATGTAGATAAAAAAACTAAAAGTCCTTCTCAGAATCCACTTACACTGCCTTCTTCCTGACATCTGCCTTCCCCTCTTACTCTTCCCTCTGCCATTCTGGCCTGGTAGCCCTGTGGGTTGGGCTTTGGGTTGGTCACCCTAAGGTCAGTAGTTCAAGTCCACAGCCTGCTTCCACAAAGAGTGATATAGTCCATGGATCCAATGGCTGTGGTTGTGGAGCAGGTTTCTGCGCTTCTGAAGTGGGGCCTGGGGATGGATCCTTGATTCTTTCACTTCAGTAGCAGTTTGTCCGTCAGAGCGACAGGACTGCACCAGGTCTGGAAAGGTCTGTGTCAGAACAACCCCAGCTGCTGGGAGAACAGAGCATTCGGCTCAGCCAAGGGCCAAGTCAGTACTGGCTCCCTTTAATTGAGGCGCCTCGCAGGGGAACACCGAACGAGTCTCTAATGTCCTAATACGCTGTAAGCCTCTTTTATTAACTGCACGGGACACTCGGCGACACAGTGCGAATCTTTACTCATCGGCTCTTCTAGAAATCAGCGAAGTTCCCCCCTCAGCCCCCTCGTGGGCTTTCCGAACCACAGTAAGATGTATCAGCCATTCAAGGAGGTGCGAAGCACTTGGCGGGGTTACCAGAGAAGCGAAGCTGGCTTGCCCACCCTGGACTGGGTCGATCATCCACATTTTGGGGAATCGAGACTTCTTTGTGATTCATGGGATTCTCCTAACTTTTGAGGGGAAAGCTGGACCGGAGGAGCCAGAAGCGGAGGCTCCGGTTGAGGGCTTATCGTCTGGAGTTTGATGACAGGCCTTTGAGATTAGCCATCAGTACTGGAGCCTGGACCTTCTGATCGTGCGCTCTGCGTGGTGGCCGGCTGCCCCTCTCCCAGGCCAGGTGGAGACACTCATGGGACAAACAACCATCAGCTTTGGAAACTCACCGTGGCCACCTTTTTCCTTAAACATCCCACCAGAGCTTGCGTCGTGTATGTGGCAGACCATGCCATTCTCCTCTATGCCACCCTAGCCCTGTTCCTTGTGTCCATCAAACAGGGAGATCACAGTAGCTCTAGGGACGCCAGGCTGGACAGAGGCGGCTGAGTGCTTTTACCGACTCCCTGTGCAGGACTGCAGAGCCGGCCACTGCCCGGGACCTAGACACAGAGGTGACGTGGAGCCAGTAGCCATCTGCCCAAGTCTACTTCTTAGATCTGAGCTTCTTCATGTGCTCCATCAATAATTTCCTACATTCCCAATCCAGAGCCTTTCCTTTGCCCCCGCAGTCGTGGTGCGCACGGTCCACCGCTGGCCTCTCCGGTGCTTGTGGCAGAAAGCTTGGAGGACAGAGACGAGGATAAAGGGGAAAATAAAAGTCAACCACCACCCTACTGTTTCGGAATCCAGGGCTGGGCTCTAAACTCAAGGCCTCTAGGGGATTTTCATCCTGGTTCAGCATGAAAAAAATAAGTTTAAAAATAAAGGCAGCGCCCTTAGGTGGAACATTATGTGGTGGTGAACCACAGCTTCCCGCCCCCTCCGTTGTGCATTTCACCTGCCAGACCTGCCTGCGCCCTACAGACTTTTGAATTGGGCCTCTTACCTAGAGATGAGGGTTATCATATCCCTTCTCTAGAGCTATAAAACCCTAGATTTTGACTCATACGGACCCTCTAGGACCAAGTACAACTATTCCATAGGGTTTCCAAGGTCGTGAATCTTTACAAAAGCTGCTGTCTTGTCTATCCTAAAGAGTGGCTGGTAGGTTTGAACCACTGACCTTCAGGTTAGCAGCTGAATGCTTTAACTATGTGACACCAGGACCCCTTATATAGATAGGCCATTCTTTAAAAATACAATTGGGATATTTCTGTAAATACTACTTTATCTCTTGCCATATTTCCCTAAACATTTTGCTGGGAGCCTTACCTCTTTCCATTAATCATTCTTTCAGAACACGATGTCAGGGTCCATTACAGGAAGGTAGCATAGCTTCTTTAACTCTTCTCCTACGGTTGGATATTTAGGTTGTTTGGGGCCCACTTGCTGCCATAAATGGCACTGTGGTAAATCTCCTTGCTCATCCAGTCTTGGACCACGTGTCTTATTTTCTTAAAATAGATTTGGGGAAGTGAAATTGCTAGGTCGAACGAAATGAATTTCTGGAGGTTTTTGACCCAGATTGCCAAATTCCTTTCTAGACAAGCTTGGACCCAATGACCAGCGAGAGGGGAAAGCATCTTTCTCATAACTGTGTGCCAGCCCCCATGGCGAGTAGGTGGCACAGCATTGGACACATCATTGCCCAAGAAGTGCCAGCTATTGTTTTCCAACACCATATTGGCCTTCCTGCATGGACTGTGATTTTTAAAACCTTAGTCAACTTGGTAGAACATGTAAATCTATGCTTATTACTTAGCATGTCCCTCCCCACCAGTATTTATTACCCCACCTTCTCTTTTTCTGTAAAGTTCTCTGTGATTCTCCTTTCCCATTTTTCTTGTTGATTGCCAAGAGTTTTCTATGTGACACCCCTCTGCCGTGCTTGCTGCGGGTGAAAGATGAGGCTGTCACAGACCAGACAGACCCTCAAGAGCAAGGCAGCCCTGGCCCATGGGGTCTGTCATGAGTCAGCATCGACACACAGCAGGGGGTCTGGTTTGGTCTGGTCATACGTCTGCCAAATCTTTTCCCACTGACGTGACTCTGGCTTCGCTTCTGCTTTATGGAAGCCACTTTCAAATGTGGGAAATGGTACTAAACCGAGATTGGCGAGGAAATAGTTGGGGGAATTATAAGGCACCCTTGGGACAATAGATAATTTGGACAAATCCTCAAGGAATCCCAGGGTAACGGGAGATGTCTCCTGGGTGAACATGGGGGCTTAGATGAGCCCTGCGGGTCCAGGAACCTCTCATCCATGGGAACCTCATCTTTCCAATGACACATGAAGGTTCCTCTAGGGATGCCGGGGATGTGGCAGGGGAGAAACTAACAATAGTTGACTGCCTCCCATGGGGAGCTCTGTACCAGGTGCTGGACAGCACATCATCTCACTGACTTATTATAACAATGCAACGCGGTGGATCTCTTCATCCTTATTGTCAGGTAAGAGTGACCACTTGACCACCCTAGTTTCTACCACTAGGAAGTGAACGCTGGAATAGAATGGAATTCAGGGCTCATATCCTTCAAGGCAGAAGGCCTTGGATGACTGGGGCTGTTGTGGCTGTCTGGTTGCTACAGACTCACACACATGACACTTGACCTTGATTTCAAGCCCATCAAATGCTACCAGGTCCTATTAGAATTTAAAAATAAAAGCGACGCTGGTTACATGTTGGGCTGCGATCCTCAAGGCCTGCAGTTCAAAACCACCAATCTCTCTGCAGGACAAAGACGGCGCTTTGTACGCCCGGAAACAGTGACGTCTCTGAAACTCACAGGGAGCAGTTCTGCTCTGTCCTATAGGGTCGCTATGAGTTGGCATTGACCCAAAGGCTGTGAGTTTTTGTATGTTAATTTGGAAGGGCTTCTGGTGGTGCAGTTGCTTAAAACATTGGCTTGCTAACCCCGAGGTGGGCAGTTCAAGCTCACTAGCCACTCCGGGTGCTGAAACTGTCTGGTTCCATGAAGATTCATGGTCTTGGAAATCCAATAGCGTAATCCTGCCCTGCTCTCTAGGGCCATGTGAGTTGGCATCTGCTTGATGGCAGTGTGTGTTCATTAGGTAGCAAGGAAGGGTGATGCCCAGTGGTCTCCCTAAGGGGGAAGGAAGCACCAGACTGTGGTCAGGTTGACTGTGAAGTGTCACTTCCCTTGAATGCTAAAGAGGACCCCTCAGGGTCTTTTCTTTTCCTTCCTGCCAACGCAGGACAGAGTAAAGCAGTCAGCTCAGCAGCATGGTCTGGGGCCAACATTCAGAGCTGAAATTTTGTAAGAGGAGGTAACCACCAAGCCAGTGTTGGGATGTTATTTCTTACCCATTAAGATCTTGACTTCACGGGTGTCCTAGATCAGGAGGGAGTTGATCTCTGCCACCCGTAGGCATCCACTGCCACCTCCTGGGCGGTGGATGAGACCTGCCTCAGAGCTACAAATGGCTCCGCCACCTCCTCCCTGTCCTCGGCCACCGACCACCCCAATGCCCTCTCTGGGGGTCACACCACTGGTGTCTTACTCAACGCTCTGCACGTGATGCTCAGGGAGCAATAGGAGAGAAACAAACTCCTGCTGGTTTCCTCTCGTGCGCCTTCTTCACTGTATGAGAAGATCCTATTTATGGCATTAGAAATTTTCATGCCAATGATTTATGATCAGACCAGGTCAAGGGGCACAGAGGAAGAGGGATCTATTCAAATACCAAGTCCACGTTCCAGATCTCACAAACAATTCCTCCTCTCGATCCTAATCTGCGTTTTAGAGTGCAGTTTCTTTCAACTATGTCGTACGTATGTTAACGTTTCTTTAGTCTCCTGGAACAGCGTTGTGGGAATGGCACAGCATTAACGATCCACGAGACCACAAGAAGGACCTTCAAAGCCAAAGTAGGAACTGAAGCTCAGCCCAGACAACAGATAGACGAAATCCAGGGGGAAAAAGGCAGAAGATCCCAAAAGACAAAGTCAACGACTGGGCAACCCAGGTTATAACCCAGGCAAACCTTGCGGCCCACAGGAATGTAGAGCCAGCTCTGAATATGGTTTGGGACCGCAGGCTAGCAACATCCACCGTGGTCCCCAAATAGTGGCTGGATTTATAACCTTATTGTTTGAGATAAAACCCTCTAAGTATTGAGCCTCAGTAATGAAGAACCAGGACAAATGGCCCACCAGCCTTTCTTGGAGAACAAAAGTAGATCACATGGTTTGCTTTTTAAACCGTATTACGTGTTTCATGTTAAGGCACACGATCCTTCACGTAAGCCCACACACGTAAAAACCATAAAGAATTCAGGCACTAGCACGGGTCTGGTCTTCTCTCTGAGGACCAAGCCGAGCGAGCCGCAAATCCTTACCTGTTCCCGGGAGAGCCATCGTCCTCGCCCGCAGCTGCGATTTCTGTCTGCTTCCTTCCCCCGACACCCTTGGGCTCTGCCTTTCGGGGCTGACAGTCATTCTCCCCAGGTTTGGCCTCCTCTTCTTTGACAAAAGCTGTGGTGCCCGCACTGCTGGAAGGTGCAAACTCTTTTCAATAATTAATTTTTACAGGCAACCGTCTTCCACATAAAGAGTGCTCACAGGGCCCCACCATGGAGGAGGCAGGTAAGGGAATGGGCCCTGGCATCTGAGAAAGGCTAGATTCAAAGCCGAGTGAGCTGGGGCAAATGGCTTCATCTCTCAGGGCCTCAGTTTCCCCACCTGTTACACACCTTCTTGCCATGTTGTCACAGTGCTGCTGGGAGGGCGTTGCTTGGTACCCACTGGGCCCATCATCACCGTTCATGAGCATGATGTCACAGAGTCCACACACAGCAGTCTTCCCTTTGCTAAGAAGTTTCTAGCGTTTAGCTTATGGGCGTTGGGATGGACCTGCTTGTAACTCTGCCCGGAGCCCTCTACAGCTCTACCCACGCATTGGCGTCATGCGATATTTCGTTCCCGTGTATTTATGTAGCATTCTTTTTTTTTTGTGTGTGTGTGGTAGCATTCTTTATTAGCAGTAAACAAGGCTCCTAGAAGGGTTCTAAGCACCGCGGGGGAGGAGGCGGGGGCATACACCTTCTCTGCCTTTATGCTTCCCATCGTGCTAGGATGACACGCTCCCAGCAGACAGGAGTGGGAGTGCTACGGTAGGTCAGGTTTCCCAATGAATATTAAAAAAAATTTTTTTTTGACCATTTGGATTGGGCCGATGATTGGTACGAACCCTCTCAAGATTTTTCTCTGCACATGTATTAAGTGTGAGTGCTCAAAAAAAAGTGAGCGCATATGAGCGTGGAGAAACGATTTCAATAATATCTGTGCATCGCTACCAAGCGTTGGGTCCACCCCAAAGCGAACCCATAGCCACAGAATCAGCTCCTAGGAACCGTGACCCTGGAGGACGGAGCAGACAGCTCGTCAGTGTGTCCCGGGCTACACATCATTGTGGAAGCCAACTGCCAACCCTTCTCCCACGGAGCAGTTGGTGGGTTTGGACCACCCACCTGCTGAGTAGCACTTTACCCACGGTGCCACCAGGGCTCCTCAGTGGCTTCACAAAGCAGTCAAACTGGGACTGTGGACTGAATCCCCCAAGAGGGCGTGGGTGACTCATCCTCTCCTGGAGCAACACAGGGTAAATCGGGACAGGCGTCCCGAGCGAGGGGTGGGAGAGCCACCATGCTCGACACTTGGAGACAACTGGATTTATGTCACAGAGAGAAAGTGGTGGTTGCCCAAACAATTCTCACCCAAATCCCAGAAAGGGATTAAAGTTCTGCTTGGCAGCCCAGGATACTGCCAAAGAGGGGGAGGCAGTGGGCTCTGTGGGCCAGAGAGGATCCTGCTCCCTAGAAAGCTTACTAAAATGAGGGGAGCTGAGAGCGGCTCTGGCCGAGGGCAAGTTGGTGGTGCCCAGAGAGGTCGTTGGTGGTGCCTAGAGAGATCGAGAGAGTGGCTAGAAAGGAGAGAAGAGAGTGACGCTCTCTGGGGAATGCGAATATCTTCTTTGAAGGCTGTACCAGCGGTGGTTAGACACGAGTTCAGGCGGTGGTTAGACACGAGTTCACGGACTGAGACAGAGGAGAGTGAGCGAGCACAGGATCAAGTGCTTTCCAGGGAGGGACACAGGACCCTCTTAGCACCCAGAGTTTCACTCCCCAAATCCCTGGGCTGCTCCCTCCCCATCTGACAAGTGGAAAGTGTTCCTGATACCTCATTTCCCCAGCACTCAGCAAAGTCCCTAGGAGGAAGCAGTGGGATTCTGGTTGATTGAGGAACAAACAGGGAGGACGAGGGGAGGGACAGGGTTGAGATTCTGGCCAAGTCAGGACCTGCAATCCTGGTTTTACAAGGACTGCGTTCTGATTTTCGGGAGTATGTCCAGCAAGAATAGTGATTAGACTTTATGTTGCCCACAGCCCGTCCCCCCAACACCTCTCACACATCCTTGGGGGTGGCGGGTGGGGGGAATCTTCTCTCCTAGAAGCTGTTCTTTTTCAGTCAGCACCAGGCAGAGGCTGTTCCTAGTCTTCAGTACACCAAGTCAGTGCTGACTCTACTCTGGTTGGAGCACTTACTGACTTACTGTGAGGATTCAGATGTTCGACAATTGCTTAATGCCCTATCTGTTTTCTCTCCAACCAAACTGCCAGCCCCTTAAGGATGGGAACCAGCTCATACCCAGTGTGTGTTCCTCACAATGAGTAGCACTTTGTGGGGCAAATATCAATTGCCCAGTGATAACATGGATAGCTTTGAGGAAATGCATTCAGTCGAAATTTTGAGTGAATCCAAAACATGAATAATTCCCTTATTGTGTAAAAGATCCAAGATGCCTTGAAATAAGAGATTGTTTAGTTTCTGTTTTCGTGTTCAAAAAACTCCTCCTTTCTTCACAGCATTTGATCTCTTTAATGATCTCCCAGACCACTTCTGTGTCTCCTCTGACCCAAATGTCAGCACACTAAAAATAATGAAGGTCAACAGCTAAAGATATTTTCACTAAAGCTGGGCAGTAAGGAAATCATCATTGCTAGTGCAGGCAGAATCTTCTCACCTTTGGCAATTTGAACCCCAGGCCCTGCAACTGTAAAATGCACATGTTACATTTAGGTCCGACCTTTCTGGGTATAGCAATAATGTACATAAATGGCCCAACTCAGTGTCTGGTGCGTATTGGCTGCTAGAAACTGGCCACTGTTGCTTTTACCACCAGTGGGATAATAGCCATAGTAACAATAATAACAGGGAATTTGATGGCGCCCCTCTGAAAGAACTAAATTTGACCATAAACATATTGCACGTAGTTCTCACAGGTTGAGGTTACTTAGCAGCCTTCATTCCCAACTTCAGACCTTTGAGGCCTTTCTAAAGTAGGTCCTCAGCATGGCATGTTACAGAACTGCAGGAAGCCCAAGCCATATTTACACTGGAAGAGAACACATACCTTCCTTTTTAGGTAAGGGAAAGCACTTTACTTCAACAGAAAAGGGAGAGGTTGTGTTCAGAAGTCTCATGCCCAGAGAGCTCAACATCCTGATGGGTTGCCTGTGCCTTCTGAACAGATTGTGATTTCCTTAGTCCCCATGTGGCGCCATCAGTTAGGCACTCTACTAATGGCCAGACTGGCAGTTTGGACCCACCCCCACTCAGAGACACCTGGGAGAAAGGTCATGGCCGGGGAAAACATAGGGAGCAGTTTCCCTTTTATACACACGGGGTTGCCATGAGTCAAAATACATCCCAGAGCAACTGTTTTCGTGTTTAGTTTTTGGTAGTTGCCTTTGGACAGCATACAACTCATACCTTCTAGTATCTGAGGCTACTAGCAGAGAAGAAAACAAACAAACAAGCAAACAAACATGAGTTTAGATACAAGATGTGGGCGTCGGTTCTCTTGGCAGCACTGGGGAGCATTGACCGAGACTGTTCACTGAGTAGTTAGTTACCTGTTTGACCAGGAGCAGCAATAGCAATAAAGTAGAAATCTCCTATCTATCCCAGACCCTGACAACCTGATGGCGAGAGTTAAGGTCATTAACTGCCGTTAACTCCATTCACCTGATAGTTGTTCTTTACATCGTTAGCCTCTCTCTCTCTCTCTCACTCGTGCGCGCACACACACACACTTTCTTGATAGTGTGGAAAAGAAAGAGAAGGAAGAGAAAATGCCTGAACATCTTGCCATCACCCGTGCCAATATTCTGCCTAAGAGTTGCTTTCTGAGAAAAACGTATTGCTTCTTTCAGCCTGTGGGAAGAATTACAGCGTGGTCCTGAGAAGCGGCATTGCCTTGGTGTAATAGGCAGTTTTCTGTACAATCACAAATAACAGGCCACATCGATTTGCCTCCTTGAGTGTGCTGGAAGCATTTGTTGCCTCACATACTCAGAGGAGATCTTAATTAAAGCTTCATTAGGTACCGTAAATATGCCTTATTTTGGAGCCCGGGAGGTGGGATTTTTGATTTTTGGAAACACAGTGCCTAAAAAATAGGCAGAGAAGGGAATGTAAACAGCCACTGAGCCCTTCTGTTCGTCCCTCCTCGGGATGGTTCTGGAAGGGGCTTCCCCTCCAGCGTGGGCTTTCAGAATGACCATGCACATATGCACGTGACCACGGGTCCGAGCAGACACAAAAGAGCCTGTTCTGATTCTGGTGGTCACGTTCCAAAGTGTGCCAGACACAGGAGTGAAGAAATCAAATGAGTCTCGAGAGATGTTGGGATTTTATTGGTTGCTGGCTCCCGTTGTGCTTGAAGGCGGAACCCGAGTGACATGGTGGCTGCTGTCTCCTCTTCCTGCTTCCCTGCACATCACACCTCCTGGTACTGTTCGTGGCACTGCCCTCTACCCCTCTGCCCCCCTGCTCCTTGCCTCCTGGAAGCCTGAAGTCCCCCTCCACTGCCTGTGCTGTGTGTCCCCCCATGGGGGACTTACCACATGAGGTAAATTTTACTGGGCCTTCTGGGGCCAGGCATGCACAGGACAGGGATCTCCCTGGGAGTGGGATTAGAGATGGGGAAGTAGCACAAGGCTGCTGGGGACTGGGGCACAGGGGCTGGCGAGAAGAAAGGGGTGCTTGTGTAGGAGGGAAAGGAGACTGGGGGCAGCGAGGTGGAGGGGTACTGAGCCTTGGGAGGGACTGGCGGCACCAGGGGCAGCAGGAGGCAGGAGTAATTGGTATTGGGCTGCAGGACAGGGGAGAGCGCAAAGACGGTGCAGTAAGGGGAATATTCAACACAGAACAGGGGGTGCTCGCTGCTGTCACCTGCACAAAAGAAAAAGAGCAGTCAGGAAGCAGCACTCAATGTGAGGCGAATGTCAAAAAGCCTGTGATTGCATCAAAACTCGGAAAAACGCTGGAGGGTTGGGGTGGGGAGGGGCTCCAGGGTCACAGGACCAGAAGGCCAGGCTCCCGGCCAGTAGATGCCTAGTCTGGATCTCAGTCACCGAAGAGGTCATCAGGGGTGGCGATGGCATAGCCACCCTCTTTGGCCAATAGCTGTGGCTCCCCTGAGGGCCGG